CCTATGATACAAAAAAGGAACAAACCATCATTGAATACCAGATCAGAGGACATCCCCCAAGCCCTCCCTCAATTAGGGCGTCCATTGGTCCCTGACCTATCCCCTCATGACTATGGGGAAAAACGTGTTCTTAGGCATCATTCTAGGAGGAGTAAGCCTAAGAAAAGAAGGGGGCAAACACAAGGACTCACTAAGAATTATTCTTTGCATATATGGAGGAATTAGAGAAACAAAAGTAACTTATTCAAGAGGAGGAGGAAGATGGGAACAAAGAGGGCAAATGTGAGAATAATCTCAATCTCTGTATGTCTCATTGCTTTTCGCAATCAACCAGTGTTATGCCAGAAATGGAGAATTCAACTTGTCAATTGTGAAATTCGGAAAAAATTTGAATTTTTTTTTCTTTTCTAAAAAAGGACAAAATAGTAATTTGTCATCCTAATACGTATTTAAAATATATATTTTTATAGAGCTCAGATGGAACAACGGATCTCACCGTTGGATTCACATCACGAAATCTAGCTGTCCTATCAATTTTCGTTGAATTCTGAGATTGTCGAGTTTTTCACGTTTTTCGAGGTGACGGGCGTCCGGTTACCCCCCAAAACGAAATTTTTATAAAAATTTTAAAATTTGAAAAATATTTTAAATAAAGTTTATATAAAATATTTTGAACTTAAACCAATATGAAATTTAATTGTTTCGGGGCGAAAACGGACCTGGACAAAGGGGGACACGTGGCGCAACTCGGGCCAAGCCTTGAAAATTATAAATAGGGCTAAATATCAGATATTTCAGCAGAAATATCTCTGGTATTCAGCTGGTTTCAAAAGTTTGGAGGGAAAGAGAGAGAAAAAAGGGAAAAATCTAATTTTGTCTCTACGATTCAAGAACATCCATCGGTCGGAATCGCTCAAGCTAAGAATCAAAGTTGATCTACGCGACAAGAGCTACGCGTGGGTTCCAAGAACGTGAATTTTCACCAAAGATCAAAAGGCAAAATTTTGGAGAAATCAAAATCTTGAGTTTTGGGGAGGTTCTAGTATTCATTCTACACTTCTATTGAGGTAGGGTTCTTCCTACTTTGGTTTTACTCATACCTTAAGGGGCTATTTTTGGTGGCTGAAATATGGGTGTCTTATGGTTGTTTATAGGCTATCCAAATGGACTTTTTTTGGACATGTTTTAATGGGTGAAATTGGTTTATATGTGAGCTATTTTTGGGACAGTTATGGGGCTGTTTACGGACTGTTTTTATGGCCTAAAATGGATTGAAATTGTGATTGTTTTTAGGCCATTCATGGACTGTTTTTAGGGCCATTTCATGGACTATTTTTAGGGTCATTCCATGGGTAATTTTTAGGCCATTCATGGACTATTTTTAAGACCATTTCATGGACTATTTCAGGGCCATTTTACGGACTATTTTAGGCCACTTTACGGACTGTTTTGTGCTACGATTAGAGGCTATTTTGTGGGTTGTTATGCGGGCTAGTACATGGGCTGTTGTGTGTTATAATTTGCCTTTGTGATTAAGTGTGTTATTGACATAAAGATAGTGATAACATGCTTGAAATTGTTTTATGAAAAAATTTCAATCTATATGCATGCTTGGATTATATTGATATTGTGACAAATTTGGTATCTAGAACATAACTTACCATGGATATGTTGAGATTGTTCATATGTCATTCATAGTATATTGAACATTGTAGCGTAGTGCATAGAGGTATCCCATTCATAGGCTTAGGCATGAGTATGGATGTGTGTGTGTGTGTGAGTTGAGCATGGTTTATTCAAGCATCATTCTTGGTGATTGAAGGGTGGGCTCAGAAAAGTGGGATTGAATGTCCTACTAGGTCGCATGGTTACATCCATAAAAAAACTTGTATCGGGTTGCAAGTAGGGCTAGACACTCCCTCGGGTGAAAAACTCAGCCACTTGGTTCATACACTTACCAGCGGTGAAATTTCAGAAAAGTGTAACGACGTACGGAGCCGGAGGTGCGATTCCTGAATCCGATATCCAATAAAGGCACATAATTTTGATATATAAATTATTCATTTGATGGGAAACATCTAAGAATGAAATGAATTTATGACATATGGTTGATTTCAAAATGATCTTTGGATGTGTTTCATCAAAGACATTGTTTTACACATATGTGTTGCATTGTGTTGTGGGAGTCGGTGAGAACTCGAGTTAAAGTTGCATGAGTGAGTTCCATCCCATTTCATTGCATGGCGTGGTGAATTCCAATATAGAGTTGCATATTCTTACTTGGAATGTTGATGTGAATATGAACTGTCAAATGTGAACATTGCATGTGCACTTAGGTAGGGAGTAGCCCTTGTAGGATATACTCTACTGGGCGTTGGCTCACCCTATACGGGAAACATTTTAGGTACGGGTCATACGCCGAGGGACGGCACTCACTCGGGCACTTAAGGAGGAAGAAAAGTCGACTTGTGGCTTTCAATCAATTTCTTTTGTAAAATTAGACTTGTAATTAAATTTTGACATGTAATGTGTAAATGAATTGTAATAGAGTCTATACGGACAGTTTTAATATAGTCTTGCATGTTTGTATGAGTATGGATAATTGGACCCAGTGTGGCCAATGTTTACTTATAAATGGACCCGGTGTGGTCATTGTTGAATATTGGACCTTGGATGAGTCTTGTTATTATATAATGCACAAATTGTGTTTTGAGTAGAGTTCCCCTTACAAAGGAGACTCTGCCCAAATTTTTAATAAAGGATGGGCCCCGGTAAATGGGGTACAACGTTGAGATATCGAGTTACTCGGTATCCACGGGCATTCTGCGGGTTGATGGATAATCAACGGACCCCCGAATTTTGGGTGTCATATCAATCGAAAAAGGTGGTCATGGCTGACCTCAAACAACCACACAACTCATGTTAATTCTTTCCTAGAACTGTCAGGGAGTGGGCGACCCCAGATAATCCATAATTTATGATGGCTAATTGATACCCATCGCCCCTCAATCATCTTTCTTATGGAGACTAAGAACAAGTCCCATAAGTTAGAGTGGTTGAGAAGATCTTTGAAGTATCATTTTGGAGAATATGTGGAACCCTGGGGCTTTCGGTTGGCTTGGCTTGGCTTTGTGGCGGAAAGAAGAGGTTAATCTTCAACTACTAGGGAAACACAAGAACCTCATTAATGTAAGATGTAGCTATCAACAACAACCAAAGTCATGGCCATGTACCTTCATCTATGCTGATCCAAAGTTTGAAAAGAGACAGAGGATTTGGATGGGTCTGAAGGCAATGACTAGGGCAATTGACATACCATGGATTGTAGCTAGGGACTTCAATGTCATCGACTCCTTGAATGACAAGGAAAGAGGTGTTGCTTCCAACATCAAAAAATTCGAAGAATTACATAGCTAATCTCAGAGTGCCTCCTTATGGAACTGAGTTTTAGTGGGCCCAAATTCACAAGGTTAAATAATAGGCCAGGTGTAGCAAATGTGCAAGAACGGATTTATAAGGTCTTGGCTAATTTTGATTGGAGAGGACTGTTTTCTTTTTACTCAGGTGCTCCATGAAGCCAAAATGGGATCAGATCATTGTCCAATTGTGATCGAATTTGGAGTGAAATCAAAGAAAGGACCTTATTACTTCAAGTTTGAATGTATGTAGCTAGAATATCCAACATGTGAGGAGGTGGCCAAGAACAACTGGCTCTTAAGACACTCTGACTCGCCTATGCTACGTTTCCAATAGTCTGGATATGTGCAGAGTTAGCTTGATTGCCTAGAGCAGAAAAAAGTTTGGAAATAACATAAAGATCATTCATAAGTTGGAAAATGAGCTTATCCATATTCAGATGAAGGACCCTTCAGTGGAGAATCTCAAGAGGGAAGCAAAATTGTGCTCTCAGATTGACATTGTTAGGTGTAGAGAGGAAAAATATTGGCTGGAACAATCTAGAATCAACTGGTTGAAGGGGGTGACCGAAACACTAGATTCTTCCATTTGACTACTATTGAGAGACAATATCGAAACCAAATTCTGAGACTCAAGACAGATGATGCAGAATGGATTGAAGGGGAGGAGGATATTAATTTTCACATCAGAAACTACTTCCAAAATTTGTTTAAGATGGTGGGGGAAAGGAACTGGATTGAAGCTTTGAACGCAGTGCGAAACAGAGTTTCTGCTGAGATGAATTAGGACCAACTGAAAGCCATCACTGAGCATGAAGTGTAGGGAGTAGTAAGAGAATTGGGAGCCCTTAAAGCTCCTAGTCCAGATGGTTTTCCAGGAGTCTTCTTTCATAACCTTTGGCACATTGTGGGGCATGATGTATTGTAGATGGTCAAGGGTTTCTTTGAAGGGGACCAAATGTCTAAGGACCTTAATCACACCAATATTGTTCTGATTCCAAAAGAGGCAACGCTTGAATCTATCACACAATTTAGGCCAATTGCTCTATGTAACTTTAGGTATAAGGTGATTTCCAAGGTTATGGCAAATATGATGAAAGTTATGTTGGGCTCTATTGTCTCACCTAATTAGGCTATGTTTATTCCTAATCGACAAATACAAGACAATATTATTATTGCAAATGAAGTTTTCCACCATCTCAAAGGGAAGAAAAGAGGTAGATTTCCTAAAATGGCTATCAAGATGGACATCAGAAAGGCCTACGACAGAGTGGAATGGGATTTTCTGGAAGCTATGATGTTAAAATTGTAGGCGACGTGTTCATCTTGTTATGCAATGTGTTACCAAAGTGACATTCCAAGTTGTGCTGAATGGGGAGAGAAAATGTGAAGTAATGCCACAAAGAGGAATTAGACAAGGTGATCCACTATCCCTATACTTGTTTATTTTTGTTACTGATTTACTCTCGTCCATGATCTTGAAAAGTGTCAAAGAGAAGAGGTTAATGAGAATTAGAATTAAGAGAAGAAGTCCTGTCATCTTTGACCTCTTTTTTGCTAATGATTCCTTGTTCTTTATTAAAGCAAAGGAGGAGAGAGTTATGGAGCTCATAAGGATCCTACAGAGTTATTGTGTTGCGTCCGGACAAAGTGCAAACTTCCATAAGTATGGAATCATTTTCTTTGATAATACCTTTGAGGAGCAAAAGAATTTCTACAGCCACCTCTTAGGGACGCAACCTCTCCTTCATCATGCCAAGTACTTGGGTATACCCATTGCTTATGGAAGTTCCAAGAGTGAGGTTTTTGGTTAATTGCTCAAGAGAGTGGCGAAAAAACTTCAAGGATGGAAGAGTATTTGTCTCTCCCAGGTTAGTAACGAGGTTCTGGTTAAGGCTACAATTCAAGCCATACCTAATTATGCCATGTTTGTGGTAGCTTTTCCCAACAATTTCTATGAAAATCTGAATAGGTATTTAAGAATTTTTGGTGGAAAGGTTCTGAGGAGAAGAATGGTATCTGTTGGAGAAAATGAGAAAAAATGATTGAGTCCAAGGCCTTATGAAGGATGGGTTTTAAGGATTTCAAGTTATTTAATCAGACCCTTTTAGCTAAACAGTGTCGTAGGTTGATTCATCAGCCTAATTCTTTTTGGGCAAAGTTCATGAAAGTGGTATACTTCCCAAACAAAGATCTGATGAAGGCAAAGCATGGAACTAGACCCTCATGGGTCTAGAGCAGCATGCTTTATAGAAGAGAGTTGCTCGAGAAAGGAATCAAATGATAGACTGGGGATGGAAAAGAGGTAAACTTTTGGGTTGACAAATGGATTCTCCTCTTACCAACTTTGGCTATTCAATCTTCATAGCCCTAAGAGTGCCAGATTATTAAGGTAGCGGATGTTATTAAGGAGACCTCCATAGGGTGGAATACCTCCAATCTAGCTTTTGTCATCTCAAAGGAAGAAATCAAAGCTATCAAAGCCATTCCACTGCCAACTAGAGGAGGCAAATACAAGAGAATTTGGTGGTCTAGTTGTAAGGGGGTTTATACTATTAATTCTGGGTATAAATGTGACGCCCCTAAAACTGGGGGTCCTGTTGACCTCCTGTCAACCCGCGAAAATACTCGTGATTGTCGCATAACTCGACATCACGTCTATCACATCCCTGTAACCGGGATTACAACCCATGCGTGGAACCATGTTTTCTTTAATTCATTTAATCCCATTGAGGTTCAACATACTCCAATGTATCTCATTTAAGGTCCATTTGAGTCATTAAAACCAAAGAACACATAGCCCAAAAGCATGGCAATGTATTCTTAAAATTTTAGATTTTTGGACATAGACTTTCCGAAAGGTTTTACTTATTAGAAAAGTTTTTCTGGAAGGTTTTATAGACCTTCCGGAAGATTTTGTCTATTGGAATTCAATTTACACTAGCCTTCCAGAAGGTTTTCTTCAACCTTTCGGAAGTTGGCACGTATAGTGTCCTCGAACAAGAATGGATAGTTGATACGTATAGTGTCCTCACGCTCTCATGTTGTCTCTTCCACTCCCCGGTGCTGCCACAACACCTTCACTAGCCTTACGCTCTTGCCTCGCAAAACTTGCTCCCTACTATCCATGATACGCATCGGTTCCTCCTTGAAGGTTCCATCCGCATCAACAATCAAATCACCCTAATCCACTACATGTGCCGGATCTGGAGTATACTTCTGGAGCATTGAGACATGGAACACTGCGTGAACACCCGATAGATTTGGCGGTAACGCCAATTGGTAAGCAACTGTGCCCACCCTCTCAAGTACCTCGAAGGGCCCGATATATCTTAGCGATAGCTTTTCCCGCTTGTCGAACTTGACCACTCCCCTTTTAGGCATCACCTTCAAGAGGACATGATCTCCTACCTTAAACTTTAGAGGTCGCCGTCGTTTGTCAGCGTAGCTCTGTTGCCGACTCTGAGCCATGAGAAGACGCTTCCATATAAGGTCCACCTTCTCCGAGGTGTCTCTAACCAAATCTGGACTCGTAGAGGGTTTCTCTCCCACCTCCGTCCAATAGACCGGAGAACGGTAAGACCTCCCATAAAGTGCCTCATAGGGTGCCATTTGTATGCTTGCCTGACAACTGTTGTTGTAAGCGAACTCTACTAAGTGTAAGTGATCTTCCCAGCTACCCTTGAGATCTAGGACGCATGCCCATAGCATGTCCTCTAACATCTGGATAGTCCTCTTTGACTGACTATCCGTCTGGGAATGAAAAGTAGTGCTCAGCATCAACTGTGTCCCCATGGCTCATTGAAAATCCTCCCAAAAATGAGTAGTGAACTTGGGATCCCGATCCGATATTATAGATACGGGTGCCCCTTGCAATCAGATAATCTCCCATATGTATAATCTGCAGAATTCCCCCAATGTGAAGGTTATCCGCAAAACCAAAAATTGTGCCGACTTCGTAAGCCGGCCCACTATCACCTACACCGCTTCATGTCCCCGCGATGTCCATGGCAAGTGAGTCACAAAATCCATCGTGATATACTCCCATTTCCACTCAGCTACCTCCAAAGGATGGAGTAATCCCGCTGGCCTCTGGTATTCAGCCTTGACCTGCTGACACGTGAGGCATCTACTGACAAAGTCACCAATCTGCCTTTTCATCCCGCTGCAATAATACTAGCGATGAAGATCATGATACATCTTCGTGCCACCTGAATGCACTGTGAATCAGGAGCAATGGAACTCCCAAAGAAACTCCTCCCTGAGTTCTGTAGATTGGGGAACCACAATCCTTCCCCCAAGCTGAAGACTACCATCCGAGTGAATGGCCCAGCTCTCGTCACCCGTACCTGCCTGTACTCGATCCCTGATGGATGATAACTCTGTATCATGCCCCTGGGACTCGATCACTCTACTCAATAGGGAAGGTGTAGCCACCAAATTCTTTAAAATACCCTAAGTCTGTCCCATGTATCGTAACCCAAACTGTCCCACAGTCTCGAGCATCTACCACTCTCGGGAAGCCACACTAGCCAAGACTCCCCTTAACTTCCGGCTGAATGCATCAGCCATCACATTTGCCTTACTAGGGTGGTAGTGCAAAGTGAAGTCTTAATCTTCCAAATACTCCATCCACCGGCGTTGCCTCATGTTGAGGTTCCACTTTGTGAAAATATACTTTAGACTTTTGTGGTCTAAAAATACCTCAAACTATTCTCCGTATAACTAGTGGCGCCAAGCCTTCAAGGCAAAGACAATGACCGCCAACTCCATGTCATGTGTGGGGTAATTCTGCTCGTAATTCTTCAACTACTGAGAACCATAAGTCACCACCCTCTCGGACTGCATCAATACACAACCGAGTCCGTCCTTCGAGGCATCATAATACACTGTATATCCCTGTCCCCTTTTTGGAACAATCAAGATAGGAGCTGAAGTAAGTCTTCTCTTCAACTCTTGGAATGTCTTCTCACAAGAATCATTCCACTCGTATTTGACTTCTTTCTGGGTCAACCTCGTCATAGATGTGGCTAATCGAGAGAAGTCCTCAATAAACCTCTTATAGTACTCCGTCAATCACAAGAAACTGCGTATCCCGAAGACTGACTTTGATTTCCCCCAATTCATAACTGCTTTCACCTTTTCCGAGTCCACGAAAACACCCGAAGTCGACATTACATGTCCCAAAAATTTCACATCAGTAAGCCAAAATTCACATTTGCTGAACTTGAAGTACAACTAATGATCTCTCAACGTCTGGAGAACAACCTTCAAGTGACCCTCATGCTCCTTCTTAGACTTGGAGTGGATCAAGATGTCGTCAACAAAGACTACAACAAACTGATCTAGGTAAGGTTGAAATACCTATGCATGAGATCCATGAATGCCGTTGGAGCATTCGTCAATCCGAAAGGCATGACTGTAAACTCGAAATGCCCATACCGCGTCCGAAACGTTGTCTTAGGGATATCAGCCTCCCTAACCCTCAACTGATGGTAACTGGTGCAGAGATCTATCTTGGAGTAGGCCCATGCTTCGCTCAGCTGATCAAACAAGTCATTAATCCTCGACAAGGGATATCTATTCTTGATAGTAACCCTATTCAACTGTCGATAGTCTATGCATAGTCGAAGGGTTTTGTCCTTCTTCTTGGCAAACAACACCTGAGCACTCCATGGTGAAGTGCTCAGTCTAATAAAGCCCTTGTCCAATAATTCTTGCTATTGGACCTTGAGTTCCTGTAGCTCGACTAGTTCCATCCTATGTGGAGTCATAGAAATAGGAGATGTACCGGGATGTAACTCAATGGAGAAGTCTATATCCCTATGTAGAGGTAATCCCGGTAGTTCGTCCAGAAAAATGTTCTCATACTCACATATGGCCCGAGGTAGACCCGACTCCTGTCTAGCCTCGTCCTCCAGGCTAAGGCTCGCAAGGCAACCCATCAATTGCCCGTGCTATCTAAAGTCATACACGGCTTGAGGTAAAATATCATGCTTTTTCCCTTGCAACTTGAAACAAACACCGTCTAGCGTATAAGCAGTGACCATCTTCTGATCACAATCAATGACGACTCGATGTGCCGTTAACCTAATCTATTCCTAGAATTTCATCGAACCCCGATATTTCCATGACCCTAAGTTCCACGATGAGTAGAATTTCCCGAGATCTCTAACTCACATCCCCGACATATCTGATCAATGCAACCTTAACCTTAGCTCCTAAGGTCAACTTTTCTCCTAAAAACTCCGCTAGGGTTATTATTTCTAAATCTATTTTTTATCAACGAAACGTGACAATAATGGAATATGGCATGCTAGAATCAAATGACACATGTGCTCATAACCCGAGAAGTAAGAAATGTATTGTGGGCCACCGAATGGTCTGACAGCTCAGTCTGAGGTGCAATGGCGTAGACATGCCCCTGGGTCCTTGAAGTTTTGGCTTGTGGGCCCTATCCTGGACCTCAACCCATGCCCTAGGATCCCTACCTATGGGACAATCCCGCCTTCTGTGACCCACTTGGTGACAATGGTAACATGGCCTCTGCCCTGCTTGGCTGGGAACTCTAAAGTGTCCACTACTTTGGGAGGTTTGCCCTTGGCCCTGGCCCTGGCCCATATCCTGGTTCATCTGGCCTGATTTTGGCGTATCCACATGTAAAGTACTAGGGGCTTGGACAGCACCATGTAGTTGGAATAGATCTCCTTTGTTCAAAATGGGACAAGGATGAACAATGTGTGCTTGTGAGAGTCCCATTGGCGACTGGGATTGAGACGTCTCGAAAATCTGTGAGGTTTAC